AAAATTTTCTAGGAGTTATATGTAATTTCTATATGTCTAGTCATTTCTAACTCCCAAATGGGTAATTCCCTTAAGTGCAAACTTGGGGTATTCAGTCTTGGGGTATATGCGCTCCAGACCAAAGACACATGTCAGCTGCTTTTTCATTTTATCCTATGTGGCCAGATGTGGCTTCAGGTTGAGTTTTCACCCATCTTCTGCAGTTTGAAAAACAGAGGGTTGTGCACAAGCATCAATTGGTGTAGCAGCCTACTGCCACTGCAGGGTACAGCACTCACATTAGAAAAGAAGATGATTTTTATTTCAGCAGCCAGTTACTGATGTTCCCATCTACTCCTTTTAGGGGATAGAAGTCCTTGTAGTGTCAAACTGAAACAGAAATACAGTGGAGTCATTCAGAAGGATTTTTTTTTTTTATCCCTCGGCAGTATTTACCAGTATTCAAGTTGAGGGCTTTGCGCACTTTGTAGATTTTTTTTTTAAAATCCAAGAATTGACCTGCATCAACCCCAGGTTTTCTTCAACATCAAACATTTACTTATTTGCTTATTTGTGCAGTGATCTTACTGTCACACATTACTTCCTTTCAGTTTCTAACAGCTGTCACCTGCAGATGAATATCTCCAAGTGCAACTGGTTAAGGAAGCAGTTAGTGCCTATTTGAAGGAAGGTTTTACTAATGCAAGAGTTTATATTGTGTAAGTTTTATTGTTATTGTGCCACAGGAGCGATGGTTCACCAGCATTTCCCTTCTCTTTTTCAGCTTTTCTTATTGCTCTTCCTCGGTGAGAATGGCAAGGATCCGGATTCCTAGCACAGTCGTTATACTTTTTGTTACAGTTCAGACTGGATTCTTACTCTTCATGTTTGCCCGGTACAGTAGTTTCATGCCTCAGGCGGAGAAACCATCACAAGTCCACATCCTCATCCTTTCCTCCTGGCGGTCGGGATCTTCTTTTGTCGGGCAGCTGTTCAGCCAGCACCCCAGCGTCTTCTACCTGATGGAGCCAGCGTGGCACGTGTGGGTTACGATGTCCCAGAACAGTGCCAAAGTCTTACACATGGCAGTGCGGGACTTAGTCAGGTCGGTCTTCCTGTGTGACATGTCTGTGTTTGATGCTTACATGCCTTGGAAAAGAAACTTATCCGATCTTTTCCAGTGGGCAGTGAGTCGGGCTCTGTGCTCAGCTCCTGCTTGTGACTCTTTTCAACGCACTGACATTACCAGCGAAATGGCCTGCAAGACTCTTTGTGGACGGTATCCGTTCAGCAAGGTGGAGGAAGCCTGTAAAACTTACAGCCATGTTGTCATCAAGGAAGTTCGATTCTTTGACTTGAAGGTCCTCTACCCTCTTCTCACTGACCCATCCCTGAATCTCAAAATTATTCACCTGGTCCGTGACCCCAGGGCAGTCGTTAAGTCACGGGAACAATCAGTGAAAGCTTTAGCCCGTGACAATGGAATTGTCTTGAGTACCAATGGCACTAAAGTGGAAGACAGCAAATACAAAGTAATGCAAGAGGTTTGTAGAAGTCATGTTCAGATTTATGAAACGGCTACTCTAAAACCACCTAATTTCCTTAAAAATCGCTATTTAATGATCCGTTTTGAAGATCTGGTAAGAGATCCATTATCAGAAATCTCAGAAATGTACAAATTTGCAGATCTTAATTTGACCCCCAGGCTCAAAAGCTGGATCTATAATATCACACATGGACAGGGACCAGGAAAAAAAAAAGAAGCCTTCAAAATCACGTCTCGAGATGCAGTTAGTGTTTCACAGGCCTGGAGAAATGTTCTTCCCTTTCAGAAAGTTAAGAAAGTACAGGAAGTTTGCAAAGGTGCTATAAACATGCTTGGCTATCAGCTGGTGGATTCCGAAAAAGAACAAAGAGATCTGACATTGGATTTAGTGTTGCCAAGACGACAAAATCAATTCAGTTGGTTATCATTTAATCCAAAGCACTGAAACATTATTTTTGAGAGATGTGGGGGGGTGGGCAGGGTATGTTTGACTGTTTCTCTACTGCTCAGCGTATAGTAATTGGAAAATCCTTGGCTGATGACTTTAAGTGTCTTTCTGTCTACTATTTTTCCGTTAATGGAAGGAGTATTTTTTTCCTGAGTTTCTTACACCTCAAAAACAAAAAAAGGCAAGATAATTGTCAGATTGCAAATATACAACTGAGCTGTGCTGCTCACAGCATTGTTTTAAAGTACTATAATTTAAGTACTTTCTGTTAAAAGGTGAATTTTCAAAGATATCTTTATTGATAATAGTTCACTTCTGTTTTCATGTTTTATATATTTAAGAATCACAGTTCTTTTTTTGTATAAATGGAATTAAGTAGATACTAAATTCCTTCATTTGACTTTCTTCTTTCCTTTAAAGTTGTTGTGCACTTGTGTATTTTTTTAGACTTCTTTAGATGTTTTACATTTTTAACATAAAAGTTTTCCAAAAGCTGGGGCAACCGCAGTAGTTCTGTTGTAAAGGGCTTAAACGGGAACTTAATTTACTGATAGATTTCATAGTGGTTTCCTTGGAGTGGCAACGTTTACAATCAGGTACTTGAATGGGATGTCGGCAAAAAGCAAAAATACACGAAGAAGCTTGGAGCAGAATCACAGCTGGTTAATGGCGTCCCTGTCGCGTTCTGTGACACAGAGCAGGTGCAACACGCTTGCTCCTGCAGCGCAGTTACCCTCTGTGTTCAGGACGACACGACGCTGTCAGTGAAGGTGACGGAGCTGGCCGGAAATGCCCGGACGGGCTCGCTCAGGCCCGGCGGCGGCTCCGGGCACGGCGGGGGGCAGAGGGCGCGTGCGCAGTGGCTCCCGAGCAGCTCCGGTACTGCGCTGAGAGTCGCGCATGCGCAGTTCGCATGGGGGGTGGTGTGTCAGTGCCGTGTTTGGGCGGCCTCTGCCGCCCCCGGTGACCGGCCCTCGGCACGGCTGGTGGTACCGCCGGCCTCGCCGCACGGCGGGGCTGCCCTCCCCTGCAGGGAGGCAAAGGCGAGGAACTGCGGCCCGGCTGTCCACTCGCTGCTGTTCGGGCGCCGCGCCCTGGAGCCCGGGGGCAGTGGGGGGCGGTGAGGGCCACGGGGAGGAGCGGGGCGGGAAATGGGAAAGGGATGCCTTTCCTGGCGGATCCCCAGCCGACGTGGCTCTGCCCCTTTAAACAGCGCGTCTGCAGCCACATGCGCGTGTGGCCCGTGAGAGTGAGCGAGGGGCCAGCGCAGCCCCGGGTGTGGCTATGAAGGGTGAGGAAGCGGGCGGGCCCTGCTGGGGGCAGCTCTCGGCAGTCACCCCGGTGCACCTTTCGCGGGGAGAGGCCGAGGGAGTGGTCCCAGGGCATCTCTCAAGGAACGACACTGGGGGAGCACCTGAACGTACCTGAAGACAGAGCTTTGCTCGAGGAAGGTGCCGAGGGACGAGCCCTGTCCGAGGGGCAGCGGAGGAGAGGGGAGCAGCACCTGAGCAGGTTGGGCAGTGTGGGCACTGTTAGTTAAATGCTGATAGGGATGCTTGCTTTGATTGCACCTGTACATCAGAGTTCTCCCTTGGTTATAAAAGCAAGAAGTCTCTCTACTGCCTGTACCAAATGCACTCTTTTATTTAATTCACATGTAAAAAGCCTACACACAGACACACAGAGGTAAATCTTCTGGACTAACCTTAGCACAAACATTACATTTCTGCCTGTATCTTCTGGGCATAAACTACATATTTCCATTCCAAGACATGCAGACTTTTGGTCTTGAAAATGGAAACATAATGCAGTTTTGTTCCCAGCTGGCCACAATTGCTCCTAATCTAAAACAGGTCACTGTTCCAAAGGAGAATCTGCACAGGCCCCAGTTCTAATTTCTGGTTTTATTTATTGGTCTCTTGTGGTTAGTGAGATAAAGTGAATGGAAGGCAACAAGCAAGAACTAGCTGAGGCTTTTTTGCTTATAACTGGGCACAGCAGAAAAATCATGATCTTGATATTCCTGTTTCCAGCTTTCCCTCTAGCGTTGTGCTCAGAATGTTTTTCCTAAATTTTGCAGTTAATCAGGCATGATCACGGGAAGCCATGACATGCAGAGAAATTCCATTAAGCTGAGTTAGACTATCCTCAGTCAGTAACAACTTGAAATAAATAAATACCCTTTCATATGAGAAGATGACTGTATGCTTCTGGAATAGAAATCCAACTTAACTCTGGACTTTTTTAGGAAAGAAGATCAGTAACTTATTCCAGAGTATACTATTAATTCTGGTGTGTGACTTTTTTTCCCAAGGCAATATTAAAGATCCTGATCTCAGGAGGTGGAAAATCCTGAACAGGAGTGATGATTCCTATACCACAATATCCCTTATATTCAGCAGCCATATCTGAACAAGTTGCTATCCAGGTGAACTGCCATTTGGAGGAAGAAAATTGCTGGGCTCTAGATGTGAATGAACTTTACTGTGCCTTGAATGAAGCCAAGGTTTATTGCAACCCAAAAGTCCTCTGCATCATCAACCCCAGAAATCCCACGAGTCTGGGAATTTTGTTTAATGGATTGATTTTAAGACCAATTTTTTTTCTTTTTCATTCATTTGACATTGCAGGCAAATCCTAAATACACATCAAATATGTAAAGCTGAATTTTAGAGTCAATGCTCTAAGTAGGACAGTATGTCATATTTTCAGAAATATTTTTTCAGTTTTGTGGAACTCCAGAGAGTGGGGAGCAGGTTCACTTCACTGGATCCCATTTGAAGCCACTGCTTCCACTGAACTTCTGCAGACTTGTGGAATGACTTTCAGTCACCTTTGGTCTTTATGAAAGATCTTGGTTCTGGCATGGCCTGTAGCCTTTTGCTTCTCAGAGGCAATGACTGTAGATACTCTCTGAACTCCATGGCAACCACTGCCTCCCTCAGAATTTAGTTTTTTGAGTAGTTGAGGTTGATCAGTGAGAAACTAGATATCTAGATATATATGCTGCACTAACTTTCTTCTTGCTTTAAAAATCAAACTATAGGACAGGTGCAAAACAGAAAGTGCATTGAAGATGTGATACACTTTGCCTGTGAAGAGAAACTTGTTCTTCTGGCTGATGAGGTAACGGAATATTCTGTTCTCTCAAAAGCACAGCTGAGAGTACTCACATGAAGTGTAATTTTGTTCCATGTGTGGTACAGGGAACAGATTCTCTGTTATATTAAGACATGAACAAACATTCAAGATTCTTAGTATCAAAGGATCAATACAACAGGTGGCTTGATCTGGATTTGAACTAGAGAGAAAGCGTAGGGAACACAAGGAAGAACTTTGTTGGAACTGACCTAAAAACCTATGTGAAGCTGAGACCACTTCAAATGAAAGAAACAGAAGGAAAATCAATTTAAACGTGCAAGTAAAGGTTAAATTGTGTACAAAGAAGCTCACTGTTCTTCCAAAGGCTGAACCTTTAACTATGGTCACATGATATAAAGTATATCATGACAGTAACTTTTACTTAACAAAGAACCTTGTGTCTTCTAACAGCTCTTAAGTTTTGGGTGTTACCACTGTTTCTTCAGTTCAGATCTGGCTCTCTAAAAAGCCATGTTTTATCCTTAGTTTGGAGAACAGAGCACATTAATGTCTTCTGACTGTTCAGGTTTACCAGGACAATGTGTACTCTGAAGGATGCCAGTTCCATTCTTTCAAAAAGATTCTGTATGAGGTGGGAGCTGAGTACTAAAACAATGTTGAGCTGGCCTCTTTTCACTCCACCTCTAAGGGAGTCATGGGCAGGTAAGTCTGATTTAGTTTTTTTTATTTCATCTTCCTCATTAATCTGGTTGGACAGCCCTTTCATGTTACTGACCTGAAAGTAATCCACCGTCTTCTATGAATTTTAACTAAAAACTATCAAGAAAAGGAAAAAAAGCATTTAAAGCACAGAGTAATGGATTAGCTCTGTGGTTTTCAAAGTACTAAATAATAAGCACATTTATTTCAGACACCTAATGCCTCAGTTCCACAGAGATGAAATCCTACAGTTGCAGTCTGGACCTGTGATAATGGAAAATTGGTCTCCAACGTTCAGATGAACAGCTCAATAATTGCCGGGATGTCTAATGCTGTAAATGTTTGGGTTGGTTGTTTTGGGGAGGAAGAGATGGAAGAAGAAGAATTTTCTGATGAACTATATGCTACTGCAGCCATGTGCTCCTGTTTTGAAGATTAAACAATCCATGTTAACTCACCTGACAGGGAAGCTGCATGTACACCTTTGTCTCTGTATGGGATACTAGGACTTAGTGACATCCCATGTAGTTCCATCTTAAACCATTATCAGTGTAAGAGCTGTTTCAACAACTTGCATGTTACATATTGTAAGATTCTCATTAATTGTCTTTCCTACTCTGCAGTCACTTTCATTGCTTTCCCAGTATTTATACACTCAAGGTTTACCAATCTTTTCCGTTCACTTTGTCACAGATGTGGCTACAGAGGATGTTATGTGGAGGTCATTTACTTGCACCCAGAAATTAAAGGACAGCTTGTTAAGCTGCTTTCTGTTCGCCTTTATCCCCAAGTCTCAGGACAAGCAGCAATGGATATTGTAGTGAATCCTCCAATACCTGGAGAAGAATCTTATGCACAGTTCATAAAGGTCAGCAATAACATGCTTGTTCTTTTGTGCATTTCCTGAACCTATCCTAAGTATTGGGAACTCAAAATTTTCACAGAGACAAGTCCTCTTTCATTTCTCCTCAGACAATGCTGTAATAACACAAATTCACAGAACTATGCAGTGTATTTAAAGTTAATTCAATATGACTACACTTAAAAATACTAAGGAGCCATTATCAAATCAGTTTTCTTGCCATAAAATCAACTTTTCTCCTGTGTTTAATATGACAAAAGGATTACTAAATAAGATCTGCTCTTACTAAGATCTAAAGAGGAATGTAAGTTCAAATACAGTTATAAAATAAAATCAGCCATGTTCTTAGGTATCCAGTGCCTCTGCACACTGAGCAATGTGGTAATCTGTGTTAAAGTATACACATAGTTTCTCACTGGTAAAAAGAAAACTGAGTCTGGCTTAGGAAATTACATTATCAAGTCAGATCAAAAATTCAGCCAATGTGGTCTCTAAAAACAGCCAAGAGTGGATGCTCAGAAGGAAGAATGTAAGAAGGCACACAGATAGAGACTTCTGCATGTTATTGTCTGTCTGCAACACTTTATAGTTGTATCCTGCTAATGCCTTTTTGCATTGCTGCCTTTAAGAGCAGAACTTGAATTTGGAACATTGCTTGCTCTAATAACAAAGCCCTAAAAGTGTTTAATCCAGGGAAGCATCATAGTTTCCTCTGGAGTTTTTATTACCACTTCAAATGTGTCTAACTGAAGACCTTCCTTTTAAACAGGAGAAGGAGTCTGTTTTGAACAGTTTTGCCAAGAAAGCCAAACCAACAGAAGACATGTTTAAGAAGATACCAGGCATTCACTGCAATCCTCTCCAAGGAGCTATGTACGCTGTCCCACAGATCTTTATTCCTTCCAAAGCCATTGAGGAAGCAAAGGTCAGTCAGTTACTTTTACCTCAATTAATTTTAACCTTCACTGGCCTGTGCCTGCCACTTCTAATGATGTTTTTATTCCAGAGACAAAGTAAGCTCAGGTAGTTACAAAAGCAGTACTTCATAGACTATGTATGATCTGAAATATAACATGACCTTTATTTTAAGAGAGGAAAACAAAGCAGAGCATTTCATCACAAAGGTGAGGCTTTCAGGGTGAGAGTGTTCCCAAGGACATTGGTGTTTAAGTCATACAAGTAGCTGGACCTGTGCAATTCCAAATTGCTGCCCCTGCCTGGCTTAGGGAGGCAGTGGATTGGGAATGGCAGTGTGCTACTGAGCCTGCAAAAGAAGCCCCACTCAGCAAGTCTGGGAAAGAGGGAGGGAGGTTTCCTTACAAATGTTACCTTTTTGCATTTGGGTTAGTAACATCTATTACTAAATAACAAGTCTTTCTATTCCTAACTAGAGCTTTGATACCTGATACATAATACTAATTTTTTGAAGGGAATTTTATCAGCACAGCTGAGAACAAAAATAGGGCTGTTTTTCAGTTGCTTATTTGATTAGATTTATAACTTGCATGTATTTAAGAACTTTCCTGGGGACTTCCTAATCAGCAGATAATTCAGGGGGGGAAAATAGTAACTGCCAACAGAACTGGAACACACAGTTCTCAAATTAATTTAATCTTATCAAATGTCAGTGCCTTAGGTTTTTCTGAGTACACTTTTGAGACTTTTGACAAAAAGTTATAAGCAAGTCAAGAAGAATAACAACATTACCTAAACCCTTTCTTTTGAAGTGAGTGTTTTGTGTAGGTTCTTCAGCCCTGTTCCTCCATGAAGTACTGTTATTTAATTCACAGTGTGAACTTGTGAACTGTCCCATTAGCAACTGTTCCTCACCTTCCTTAGTAAATAGAATAAGGAACTAATAAGGTAAGATAAGGTTTCAGGTGGAAAAACAAGAATAATGAAATTCTATATATTTGGGAATATTTTCACTTCAATAATTCCAAAGCATCCATTTCCTTAGGCTCATGAAGTGGCACCTAGTATGTTGTATTGCATGAAACTTCTGGAAGAGACTGGAATATGTGTTGTACCTGGAAGTGGATCTGGCCAAAGAGAAGGAACCCACCATTTCAGGTACAGTTTCTGTTTGTTTGAAATCAAATTAACAGTAATAAGCAAAGTACCATCCAAATACTTTCTCTTCTGATTAAATACAAGGATTTTTATTTCAGTGTACATTGTCTCACTTTAAACTGGACAGTTTCTGTGATCTGATCTAGGCCAAAGACCTCATCTGCTAGATGAGCTATTCAGGTTTTTGTGGTGTTTTCATAGCTTGGTGACATAATTTTATTCTATTTTTATACACTGGTATTTGAAATGCCTTCTCCAGGAATACAAACAATAATAATAGCTTAGACTTTAATCATAAAATTGGCTATAGAATTACAAAAATTGCCCTGCATTCTTTGGGAGGAGGGGGGATTAAACAGTGTTTCCATATGGAGAAACTGCATTAGAAGTGCAGTATTTTCCCTATAGAACTGCTCCTTAAAAACACTGAATAACTTTTCACTTTGCCAAAACAAGATGTTGAACTAAATAATGCGATACCAAAACTGTGAACATAAACTCAGTTGCTTTTGCTTCCAATAAGCAGCACTTTGCTCCAGCCAAGCCACTGATAGCTGGAATTTATCATGGAATTTAGTCTTCTTCAGTCTGAAACAATATAACAGAAGGTATCTTTAGCCTTGGTAGTTCTGCAACACAGCCAGCTGGGTGAGATATCTGGGTACATACAGCTCCAGGAAAAGCCAATGAGTCCATTCCTGCACCACTGTGGGAAAAACACTCTGTTCTGTAGGTCTTGCACACAGTCTGCCATAAATTCTCCATGGGATTTTCATATCAAGCAGGAGAAGGAAAAAAGAGACTAAAAACTGCACAGTGGAATGTTGCATTGTTTTAATGCGTCTGAATTCAGTTTTCAGTTGAAGAAGGAATGTGCATTTACTGACAACTGCCCACTCCTAAAGCTTGAAAAGCTGGCTATAATTTGGCATAACTGCCCAACTATGGAAACCAAGTTGCTGTTGTTTCTTGCTGATGACCTTCTTACCACTCAATAGAAAATAACAATTCTTGAATTCCTATGAACTAACCAATTGAAACAAATTGCTGTAGTTTAATGGTATAGTTCAATTAAAGTATAAATGCATGAAATAAGAGAATCACATCAAAACGTGTATTAACCTTAACATGTTACTTGATGTGCCCTGAGATTAATCAAGGTCTGGGCAAAGATCACAGTTTAGCTTGTTCTGCAGATAATGTGGATTGTTTTTTTTCTTTCTTTAAATATTTTTCAGAACGACCATTCTTCCTCCAGTAGAGAAGCTGAAGATCCTACTGGAGAAAGTGAAAGACTTCTACATAAAATTTCTTGAAAAACATGAAACTACTGTGGCTTTTTCCCCCTCATCCCCTCCCTTTCAAAGCAAATGAAGGCAATGAGCAAAGATGTACTGAGAATGTGCTGTTCATCTAATTTAACTAAATTCAAAACAGATAGAACCAGTCTCAGATACTGCTACAACTTATTGGACTATTAAAAGTTAATGTCTCGTATAGAAGACATTTTTTTAAGGGGAAGGGGAAGAATGTGAAGAAAGTGGTGAAAAGAAAGACTTAATAAATGTTTTTGTGCCTTGATTGGAAGTTACATTGTGGACTTTTGACTCAATAGATTGGGAAAGGGAATTGCTCATTAAAATTATTACTGTTATGTGGAGGTTTTTTACCAAACAGAAATGCCAAGATAAATTGTTTAGCTAGGGATATGTTTCCCATCCTAAAATTCTACTAAACAAAAATTCAAGCCCCTACATTATAGGTATTGTTTGGTTTAATTTTTATTGTTGTTAAGTGTGAAGTCTTCAAATCTGATTAAGGATGTAGATACATCATGCTTATTTAAAATAATCTTTGGCACATGTGTGCAGATACCTCTGAAATTCTGCTAGAAAGAAATCCTGCCATCACAGCATAATCAGAATGGAATATACAGTTTTGACCAGAGGAGTGAATACGATGCCTGCTTGAACCCTGTTTTTATGAAACTGAAACATAATGAGGAATATAATCTTCTTCTCCATGTGCTGTTCAGCACAAAATCCCAGCACAGGAGCGCTGAACATTTCCTCTCATAACAACTCCACGAGCCTCCTGTTAACTCACTTCTTTTATACACATGGAACATAGTAAGGTACTGTTTCAAAACAGATGAGAGCACAGTCAGTCCTTTCAGGTGGGCTGAAACATAACACACTTCCAGAACCACTCTGTCTATGGAGAACATTTGTTTGGAACCATATGACGGAGACCCGCGGTGTGGCCAAAATCCAGCTTGAACTGGCAAAGGCTAACACATGTTGTTACCAGGGAAAATGCTGGGGGGGAATTCCAATGAAGAAAAAGGTCTTTAAAGGAAAATGTCTTGCACCAAGCATAAAGAGAATGATAGTACAGCTGACACTTAAATCTTCCACAGTCATGCCACTGGCTGAATGACCCTGAGTGCTTATTAAAGCCTGGCTCAACAAGGTTGATATCTAGGAGTACAGCTGTATGACTCCACTAATCTATGCCAGTTTCCCTGCATAACAAAGGACAGCTTCTGTTTCTCTAGAGCTGGAAGCTGGACACCTCCTGCTAGCTCTGATAAAGGCTGAAGGAACAGACCTTCCAGTATTCAGATGTGAAAGCATTAGCATGTCAGGCTTTGCCCCAGCATTTACAGAGCTTATTCATTAAGATATCACATTTAATCCATTAATTTTAAGTTATTATTTAGAAGTAAACTCATTTTCATGTCTATTAGCACTTTTTTAGGCTGCCTCTGTAGCTGGTTCAACATCCTCTGCTGGTCCAAGTTACTAAAGCCGAGGGCTACAGAATCACCACAAGGATAAACCTGTGCCAATTTATTATGTGTGGAAGACAAGAGATATTGCCAATAACTGTCCTTGCAAGAGCAGCTACCAGTATGACACAGTGTTAGCAGTGGGTGTACTTCTCACAGGTCCTTACTGAAGTCTGTGAGAAGAATTTAGTCCCTGTCAATCACCTGCCAGTGGTCCCAGGTTCATGGATGGAAATGGCACACTGATACAGCGAGTGATTGTGGGGGCCTGGAGAAAAATCATCCACTTATCCTTGGAGAAATACACCTGTGGGAGGACAGCAGACTGAGAATATTTATGTTGCTACTATCCATTGATAAATACAACCTTTTATCTGTTGGCATCCTTAATGTGCACTAATTAAATCTAGAAAGCAAAACCATAGCAAGGGATCAGAATATTGATGTAAAAATAAAACAAACAGCACTTTCCCATTCTAGGAATGTGGCCAAATGAGATCTGGCTTTGGACTTGTAAAGCAGTGTAGACTGAAAATAGGATCTAACGATGGGAGTTAGGATTTTTTTTGTATTTTTGTAACTACAGCTTTGTAACTACATCCCCTCCCTGAAGGTGTGTCCGCCCCATCCCCTCCCCGAGGTGTGTCCGCCCGGCCCGCGGGCGGGGGCGGAGGGAGGGAGGATCCCCCGCTCTCCCCGCGGTCCCGGGCTCGGTTCCCGGCGGGATGGTCGCCATGCCCCTGAGGAAG